CAGATGGTCCAACAGATCCTGTGTCACCTTTATCCCCTTTAACATAATGCAAAAATTCCTTAAGTTCTGATAACTGCATGTCAGTTTGTACGTAAAATAAAGATGAGAGATTTGATAGATAATTTAAGAAAAAACTGAAGAAATATAAAACTTTAAATCAAAATTCTGACATAATGCTCGGGGATAAAGAAACTGCATTATAGTTTCATTAGCAGGCATTTAACATAACAGTTCATGCTGTATTATAGTATCGAACTTATACTTAGATGTTAGAACATTTTGAGTCTTAAAATGTTTAAAAAATCAAAAAAATCTATTAACGGAAATTATGCTTCACCCTTTTTGTTCATCACCATAACATCTCCTTTCTCTCCTTTAAGCCCTCTGACACCTGCGAAGCCTCTGGGACCCTGAGAAACAACAACAAATTAAGTATACACACACACACACAAGCATGATACAAACATTTTTTTTCCACATGGATTTCAACCATGTTTACATACAGTTACACCTCTCACACCCATCTCTCCAATGGGTCCGACATCGCCAGGAGGGCCCTGGAACCCTGTTTGCCCAGGATCACCAGGGACACCCAGAGGGCCTGGGGGGCCAGGATCTCCGGGTATATCACCAAGTGGGTCACATACACATCGCCCATCAGGACCTGAAAGGAAACACAAAGAATATAAGTACATGTGCTTATACTTGGGTTAGAAAAGATGCACCCTTTGCCGCCTCCTAATGGACACTGATACACACTACACACAACAAAAAATAATCAGCACCATGGACAGCACAATATAAGGCATTCCTCTGTTCAATTATTAAAGGGTCATGAAACCCCCTGTTTCAGCACTGGCTAGTTCTCACCACAGTTAAAAAAAAACGCTAAAAAAGTGGGCGTGGTGCGCAGCGGAGTGGAGGGGGAAGAGGGGAGACAGACAACACACACAGCTTCGGGTTCAGACAGTTTCTTTTCACTCCCATCGAGTTAAAAACACAAATAAATGCACATCCATTTGCACTCTGCATCGAAAACATATATATGAATGTGCTGTTGCACCTCTGATAACTTTTTAGACTTATTCTGCTGTGTTTATATAAATAAGCCTTTTGGCGGCTTGTGTCACGGAGCTGTAAAAAACGGTTACACTCACTAAGTGAATGAATCGCGTTTGTGCCGAACTCTTATTACAAAGCAAAAACAAACGCTCTCCTTCCTTCGATCCATGAACGTTTCTCTCAGTTAAAGGTGCAATAGGTGATTGTCTTCAGAAACATTTTTTGTTATGCTGGTTGAAAGTCTCTTCACATCCCGATAGCAATCATTAAGTTAAGTGGTCTAAATGTATTTATCTGTATTTATATATTCTGTTCGTCCAATCAAAATGCTCGGTCAGAGTGTTTTAATTGGCTTTCCTACCTGTCTGTCAACGTATGTATTTGCATACCTCTGCGCACCTGGTTTGCGCAGACAGGATAAGTCATCAGCGCGTTCACGCACGCTGTGCAGACAGAGCGAGAATGGCATACAAACATCAACAACCCGATCTTCCTTCCTGGTATTGTAGAACTTTTACTAACTGTACTATAAAGTTTTCTCACCGGTAAATGACACATGATGTCATTTACCGGAGTCACAAATTGTGACGTCAACACGATGTAGATTTTAAACCCGGAAGATGAAAATAGCGCAAAAAAGCTTAAAATTAACCAGTTTTCTCAAACAGTTAAAATTATCGGATGCTAACATTGTCTTCTATAATGTGCAACACAAACACTTCTGCTAAAATCTCAGAAAAAGTAATCGTAGGGTTTCATGACCCTTTAAAGATTTTGGCTAACTTGATAATGCTTTCAGCTACAAATGACCTGCATGTTTAAAAAATTCATGAGATAAACCATAGACAGTAATATACAGTACAGTACAGTATGTACACTACAATAGTGTCACCAAAAAACATTTGGACAATTATGATTCATATGATATTACATAACAAAATATCTAAAATGCACATATTTTAAGCAAAACATTTACAGTAACGATTGACAAAATAAAAAATATATACTGTTAAAAATATATACTATATGGTTTAACTGACTTTATTGTTTAAAGGTTTGGGGTAAGATTTTTTTCTTTTTTTAAAATACGTCTCTTATGCTGCATTTATTTCAGTATTGTGTAATATTAATCAGTATTGTTAAGTATCATTACAATTTAAAATAATAGTTTTTGTTTTGTTTTTTAATTTTGATACATTTTAAAAAGTAATTTATTCCTGTGATGCAAAGCTGAATTTTCAGCATCATTACTCCAGTCTTCAGTGTCACATGATCCTTCAGAAATCATTCTAATATGCTGATTTGCTGCTCAAGAAACATTTATTATTATTATTATCAAACTTTTAAAACAATTGCTTAATATTAGTGTGGAAACTGTAATGCATTTTTTAAAAGAATTCTTTAATGAAAAAAGTTCAAAAAGCCTTTGTCTTTACTGTCACTTTTGATCAATGTATTGCAGTATTAAAAAAAATCTTACTGATCCTAAACAGTAGTGCATACATCTACAAAAAAGAAAAAGAAAAGTAAACAAAGTAAAAGAAAAAAGAAAAAGCTAGTTCTGAGGGAAAAAAACTGCATCGTTTCCACCACTCAGTTTGATATTTTGAATATAATGCAATGACATTCACATATGTATATAAATCTTTATATAAATAAAAGATTTTATGTCGATGTATAAAAACACACCTTTTCTTCCCTGAACACCTTTTAATCCAGGTGGCCCTCTATTTCCAACCTGTCCAGTTTCTCCACGCTCACCAGGCAGGAAGTAGTAACCTGTATCACAGACCCATACTCTCATCACAGTGTATTAGTTGTATTTCTTTAGAATGATAGTGTAACTCTCAAAGTTGCATGTCTTACATATTTAGGTATGATGTTATGTGTTTAAGGGTGTTAGATAAATGTATGTAGCATGTGACAGTCAAAACATTGTGCTCACCACAAACTGTTCACTCGAAACACATGACGAGACAAATGTTCACATCGTAACAGGATGGACATACACACAAAAGACAACATGCAAGCAGGCAAACAAAGAAGGATGACATGCTTTGAAGGGCATACAATAACTTCAGTGATGATGCACACATATGTACATTATCAATAATGTCAACAAATTGAGACATAGTCTACACTAAACATGCTAAATGTTTTATTAATATTAAGAACAAATGAAATAAAGAAGACAAAATATATCAAAAGACATCTCAATGAAAAAAGGCAATTAAAAAAAGTCAGGGCTGATTAAGACAGACAATAGAAAATGTAACAATTTGAGGGGAAAAAAAAAATCCACATCTACTCACCAGGATTCCCAGGATTTCCAGTTTGTCCTTTGGGTCCAGGACGACCCTGTTTTCCAGGTTCCCCTAGAGGAAGAGAGATTGAATGTTAATAAATTATATTACAAAACCATTTAAAAATCTCTTCTTCTATCTCTTTTTTAACAATTAAATTGAAATAGTGAGAAAACAGTACACTACAGTAAAAAAGTTTGGGGTCCGAAAGTTTTTCATTTAAAAAATTTTTTTTTTAAAGAAAGGATGTATGAAATTGATTAAAGGCATCAGAAAACACATTTATAATGTAAAAAAAAGATTTCTATTTCAAATAAATACTGTTCTTTTGAACTTTCTATTAATCAAAGAATCCTGAAACATATAACGACAAACTGGTTTCTTGAGCAGCAAATCAGAATATTAGACCAATTATATGTGTGTATATATACACACACACATGCATACATACTTATCCTATTTTGGACAAAACTACAGATCTTTGAATAGGATTATGAATAAATCCACTTCTACCTACAGCTTTAGTGTCCCTCAAATCCCATTAATGATGTAATTTTTCATATGCTTAAAGCCAAAAAACTGTAATGAAAAAGTACCTTCAGTTCAAAACAAGAAAAAAAAATCCAGCTTTTTATGATTGCCCCTAACATGTCAGTCACCAAATAATACAATAATTCTTTCAAATCATTAGAGTGTCTATTAAAATGAAATATTTTGGTAAGCAAGCAAAAAAATATTACCATAGTTTAAGAGTGACCCATATATTTTTCCTGGGTCACCTTTTTCTCGTTTGAGTCCATTAAGACCCTGCAGACCAGATTCACCCATTGGACCTAAAAGCAGAGCAGAGTTAGAAAGAGAATCGAGAAAAGAAAGAAAAACGCACACTAAGACATCTAAGACCACAATTATGATTTACAATATATAAATACCATACAAAGATGACATTTAAGATAATTCACACCTGTTATAGATGCTCCTGGATCACCAGGGGGTCCAGTTATACCCCATCGTCCCTCTATCCCCAGGAAGTCCGGCTGCACCAGGAAGCCCACGATCTCCAGGTGGTCCTCCAGCACACATAAAATAAATACACAAAGTTGAATACTTTTTAAATTAAATATCATATATACATTTTAAAATGTTATTGTATAATTTAAATGCGTATTATACATTTGATATATAAAAATACAATGATGTATAAAAACAATGATATATCAAAAACTCTCCCAAACCCAAACAGGCCCTCCTCAACTGAAACTCTCAATATAAAGCATTCTAGTTTGCACAGCTAATTTAAGTAAATAAAGTGAAACACTCTTCATGCTAAATGCTGTACCTAACCACAGACAGTACAGTACATTTCACATGTGTTTGTATGTAATTTTAACTCTATTACCCATCACACGGTTGTAATGATACTTTGGGTTTCCTTTAGGTCCGGGGTCACCTGGGTAGCCCTGTTACATATTCACAGCAGCAGTGTCAGCAAACAAATGACAATATACTGAAGGCATAGATAACTCTTTCTAAATCAATTTCTTTCATACAATGCATAGCCTAGTCAGAATTTGCGCCTGACCTTTGGCCCTGGGTTGCCATATAGACCAGGGAGACCATTATCCCCACGTGACCCCTGTATATGTGAAAACATAACATCAGAAGTGACAAACAGTATAATTCAACAAACCTATCATTTCAAAATAAATAAATCATTATTAATAATAATTCTAAATGATTATGAAGTGTACCTTAGGTCCTTGAGAGCCTTTTCTGCCTGGATATCCAGGAAGGCCCTATTGTTTTAAAAAATACAACAACATATATAACTGAAAAAGTAAACAAAGAATGAAGTTAAGAGTTTTGGTTATGAAATTTGAAAATAGTTTTCTGGCTTGCTTTCAAAATCAACTCATACTCGCATAATCTTAATATGTGAAATGAGGAGAACTTGATGCTAAATCCTGATACCAGCTATAGCATCTATATGTGCGGTGTTATGAATGGTTAGTTTGGAATGCTATAGTTGGTTAGTCTGGAATGTTTGGATTAGTTGGTTTGGAATTCTATGATTGCTTGCTTTCGAGTGTTATGATTGGTTGAATTTTTATTATTACATGGTTTATAATCTTATCTGTTGGTTTGAGGTGTTATGTTCGGCTGGATTGTGGTGTTGGTTTGTAGTGAATCAATTAATATGGAAACTAGTGAAGAATCTCACTCTGGGACCAGAGAACCCAATTATGCCTTTCTCTTCCTTTTCTCCTGGAGGCCCTTCAAAACCCTGGAAACACATAAATGAATGTAAAACCACATTAATGAGCTTCAACTAACACAGATCACATATCAGGACTTGCTATGTTAGTTCAGAAGTTATTAGGACTGATAAATTCAAATAAATATGCAGTAATACTCACCTTTGGCCCAGGTACTCCACAAATTCCTTTCTGTCCCTTTCTCCCCTACAAAAAAGTTATAAAATTCCACCATCGTTTACTTCTTGGAAGCTGCCAGGCATCCTTATAAAACCTCAAAAACTGAAAACTCATTTCACATATGCAAGTTTTACCTTATCGCCTTTTACACAGTCTTCTGGGTTAGACTCCACATATTCAAGATACCAGCTATAGCATCTATATGTGCGGTGTTATGAATGGTTAGTTTGGAATGCTATAGTTGGTTAGTCTGGAATGTTTGGATTAGTTGGTTTGGAATTCTATGATTGTTTGCTTTCGAGTGTTATGATTGGTTGAATTTTTATTATTACATGGTTTATAGTCTTATCTGTTGGTTTGAGGTGTTATGTTCGGCTGGATTGTGGTGTTGGTTTGTAGTGAATCAATTAATATGGAAACTAGTGAAGAATCTCACTCTGGGACCAGAGAACCCAATTATGCCTTTCTCTCCCTTTTCTCCTGGAGGCCTTTCAAAACCCTGGAAACACATAAATGAATGTAAAACCACATTAATGAGCTTCAACTAACACAGATCACATATCAGGACTTGCTATGTTAGTTCAGAAGTTATTAGGACTGATAAATTCAAATAAATATGCAGTAATACTCACCTTTGTCCCAGGTACTCCACAAATTCCTTTCTGTCCCTTTCTCCCCTACAAAAAAGTTATACAATTCCACCATCGTTTACTTCTTGGAAGCTGCCAGGCATCCTTATAAAACCTCAAAAACTGAAAACTCATTTCACATATGCAAGTTTTACCTTATCGCCTTTTACACAGTCTTCTGGGTTAGACTCCACATATTCAAATGGACCTGGATCACCCTGAGGACCCTGTTCCCCCTGTAAGAGAATCATGATGATGTTGTTAAACACAAATTCATGTATGATGTAAAGCCAATACTGCCATGCGTGTTATGTACCTCATCTCCATTTGGTCCAGGCAGTGATCTTCCTGGGTCTCCCTATGGAGAAACAGAACAAAATATCATTCAAGAACATTAAAATAATCTAAACGGCTTCATATTATGCACAGGTAGCAGAAGTGAAGCAGAAGCAGAAGTGCATGTTGAATAGGGATGCACCGATACAGATACCGATACCCGATACTGAGCTCCTGTACTCGTACTCGTTAAAATGCCTCGATACCACACAGCATGTGATAAGTGCCATATTCAGACAAAGAAACACCGACAACAGACAGCAGAATGGAGTTATTAGAGATTAAAGATGTCCATGAAGTATATGTATGCAATGAATATAAAAATATTAATGCCTGTATAGCTGATGTGCGCGAGCTGGTAAGCAAATCACGCTGAGTGGATTGAGGGTTTGACTGTATCTATTTGATAAATTAAGTTAACCAACTAACATTATACATACTCTTTTGGTTTCTGTACCCAATATTTAAAAAATGTACAAATGCAATGAAAATATTGGTATCGGTACTTGGTATCGGCAAGTACCAAAAATAAAAGTATCGGTATCAGGCGAGTATTGGAAAAAGTGGTATCGGTGCATCCCTAATGTTGAACGAAAAATGTTAGAAATCTAGGGCTGCTGCACTTAAAGACCAGGTTTTCAAGTTTATAAACTAAACTTTAGATAGAGAAACTTCTCAGAGAATCTTCAATTTCATTGGGTAGTACATGTAAAACTCACCGGTGGGCCTGTTGGACCTGGTAATCCTTGTAAGCCCTACAATTAAAAAAAGAAGAAGAAGAAGAAAAAAAAAACATTAAATTAAATATATATATATATATTTGGTGAGCATAAGAGACTAAAAACATTTTCCAAAACATTTAAACTTTTAACCAACATATTAAAACATCTTTTGAATACTGCAAAAAAAGTCTCAGAAATGGTGATAATCAACAAAAAGAAAAACTGTTGCTGAAATAAAAACCAAAAACACTGTCTACATAATAGTATGGATGATTCAAAAATGGTGCTATTTTGAAGAGTAAATGCTTTTCTCACCATAGATCCATCAGGTCCCATTCGTCCTGGTGGACCTTGTGGGCCAAACAACCCTTTCAGTCCCTTTTTGCAAATGCAAACACAGACACGCACAAACAAAACAAACCTAACTAATAAATAAAACTGTGCTAATAAAGATCACACTAAAGTAATACATTATAACTCAAATAAGAACTGCTTTTTTGCACTTAGTACATACTTGTGGTCCAGGGATTCCAGGAAGTCCATCAACACCCTGTGAATGAGGTTAACAGAATTGTTGAGTATAAAATGATAATTATAAAGTAGCTCTTAATAAAAATAAAAATAAAACTACAAAAGCATTTCACTGTTAAGGAAATCAGCAGTGTTTGCTTTTATATGACACAGCACTGCTCACCCTCCGGACTGCATGCAGAATTATAGTCAGCAGTAATAAAATATAAACACATAAACATAATTTTTGGCATTACACGTACCGGTGCTCCAGGAATGAAAGTTATCCTTGTAATCTTGTCTCCTTTGGCTCCTTTTAACCCAGGTAGTCCCTGAAACAAGCAAAAAAGAAAGGAGTCATGGACGTCATTTACTGCGGGAATGAACCCAGTCAACACAGAAGATAAAATACAAATAATATATAATACAAATAATATTGTAGATTCATTGCGTGTTAAGAAAAAAATGCCTGTAAAGTTTCTCATACCATGGGTCCTGGGAAGCCGGGTCGTCCTATCTCACCATTCAACCCACGTTCCCCTCTGGTTCCGTTACAGCCATCCTTCCCTGGAAACCCAGGAAGACCACCAGGCCCTGGATGACCCTGGAAGATATAATATAATATAATATAATTTAAAATAATAAAAAAATAATACATGTCACACATGCTGTCTAGTATATATGTACACACACACACACACACACACACACACACACAAACATATTTAATATAAATCAGTTGTTACATAGAGCATTTCTATTGTTGAATATTTCATGCAGACTGTCACTTACAGGCACTCCATCTAACCCAGCATAGCCTTTTTCTCCTTGAAAGCCCTAATACAAAAGAGTGCAACAGAATCAAGGTCCTTGCATTGAGTTTTATAAGAATTGTGTGTGGATGAGTGTGTATTTCTATGTACCTGGTCTCCTTCCGGGCCAGAGAGCCCAGGCAATCCTATAAGTCCACATCGACCCTTTTCGCCATGAAGTCCTTGGGGGCCAGGCAAACCTGGAGGCCCCTGTGGACCCTGCCAACCTAACACACCAGGATTCCCCTAGAAAACAAAGGAGGAGAAGTTAAATTTGAATATAATGATATTATAGTAATACTCCCTGCAACTCGACACACTCAGAAAAAAAGGTACAAAGCGGTACCCCAAGGTGCAAAGGAAAAAGGTACATGTTTGTACCTTATTTACCCATAAATTACACAAATTAGCACCTAAAGTGTACATATTAGTATCTTTTGAAAGGGCACTGGACCAGTGACCTTTTTTTTAGCATGGAAAGCCCAACTTCTTGTACAAGAAAATAATAATCAGGAAAAGAGTTAATCTATAAAACATTTATGTTTTAGTTCAGCCATCCATAGAATTTAGAACCATTAATTTCAAATGCAAGTATCCATAAGTGTCTTTTTTATATTTTATATATATTTTTTACTATATTATTTTTTTATGTTATGCAATTTTCCAGCTGTGACAGCCATCACATTCAGGGCCGGATTAACATGAGGGCTAGGAGGGGCTGAAGCCCCAGGGCCCGCAGATTGAGGGGGCCCGACGTGATTGTGGAGGAAAGAAAAAGTAGACCTAGAATTGATTGGCCATCGGGAGCACCTGAGCTTTCCCGGTGTGCCGATTGCAGAAATCCCACCATGCCCCCACATATTAGTGTCTGCGCTATTTCAGTCCAAAA